GGAGAGAGAAGTGGGAGAAGGATGACTACACAAGGATGGTCCAGCGAGGGACTTGAAGCCGGTGAAGGGGTAGGGGGATGGGCTCCTCCGTTGGAAACGGAGCCCGTGGAGATCATCGAGGAGGAAGAGGAAGCGCACGCTGAGAGAGCTGCTGACGGCGGCACGCCGCAAAGGCTTCAAGGAAGGGAACGTCAGGGAGATGGCGGGGAACGTGACACGCCGCAGCGAGCTGATCCCGAGACGGGAAGGCACGAGACACGAGCGGCCCACGTGGAAGGCGAGGACATGCTCGACGTGGCGTCTCCGTCTCCGGGAACGAAAAGGACGGTTGAGTCTGTGTCTGGAACGCCTCAGGGTGGACAGATGTCCAACACAGTCCTTGAGCAGTGGGCACGTCAACCGACGCCCAGCGAAGGAGCGACGCCTGCAAGGACGACGACGGGTACGCTCTTGGACGCTTCGGTGATGGACTCGGGAGGTCGCCGCGAGGTGGGGGAGGCCTTAGATCGGACTCGTCCCTCCTTGCAGCCGATGGACGACTCTAGAAGGGATGTGCCCTGGTCACGTCAGCGTACGGACAGCCCAACAACAGCGTGCCGGGCCAACAAGGAAGCAGAAGTGCTTCAGGAGTTACACCTGTTGTTGCTGGAACACCTACGCGAGCGTACGTACCTGGTGGAAGTCGAGGAGAGACGCCGGTTCAATCGATGAGAACGCCGACGAGAGGAAGTGGGACGCCGACGACGGACCCAGCCTTACAGGCTTTCAGCATTCGCCCAATTGCTACAGAGGGCTGGGGTGACGAACGGAACGCCGGTGCCGTCACCAAGACTTCAAGCTACGGGACACGTGCCACGTACAGTGCCGACGCCGACCCGACCAGTGACGTCTTCAATGATGGGGTACCAAGGACCTATGACCCCGAGAATGAGGACGCAAACGCCGGTTTCGACACCTAGCCGAATGCCGATGGCTGCTATTCCTTCGTATGGAGGTGTGTCAATTCCAACGGCTGGTTCCACGTGGAACGGTGGAGGTGGTGGAGCGCCCCAAAGGAGTGCGTTCTACCCTCCCTTCCAACCGCCAATGACGTCGACACCTGGGTGGGCTACTGCTGGAACGATACCCGCGTGGTCTGCAGCGTCTGCACGGCAGACACCTGCCAGCCCCAGAAGCGGAACGTACGGATTGCCGTTCCAGAGAACGTCTTCTATGAATGTTGCAACGTTCCAGGGACGAGCAGAAGCGCTAGGACAAGAAGGGAACGTGGGTGCTCAAGGGGGAAGGTATGCACCTAACGCAGTACCTCCGCAAGGGCAAGTGACGAGTCCGTGCTACGACCAAGGAGTCCGCAATGGCTCGCACGGGTCAGGGAGAGGCGCTCAGCGGGACGTTCCGATTATTGGTATCCCGACGGAATTGCGGAACGCTGTGAAAGTTTTCGTTCCATTCTACTCAGAGACGGCCCACGTACGAAAGGGCGGCCGCGTTCTGGCGTTCCTTCGAGAAGTGTACGCTCGGTATGGACGACCAAATGCGGTTGGCTGCCTTTGAGCAGTGTCTAAAGGGCAAGTTGGGTCAGGAATGGTGGTACAATGCGAGGATCAACGATTTTGAAACTCTGCGCGTGAGATTCCACAACCGCTTCATCTTTCAGACGCCAGTTTAGTTGTGGAGCCGACTCAAGGCCGCTAAGAGGAACTACGGTGAATCTGCGGAAGAGTCGGGCGACAGGATCATCACGACGTGCGAGTACCTAAACTATCACGAACCTCGTATGCAGTACGACTTCTTCCTCGATGGGTTAAGGAACAAGCAGATGCGGGCCGTTTTGAACGCGAACTTAGCTGCGTCGATCCAGGAAGCGTGCGCTTTATTGTTGTACAAGAATCTGCACCTCCCTGTTGAAGAAGAGGACGAGTTTGCGAATAGTGGAACGACGGTGAGGAACGTGAACGCGGTGACGTCCACGCAGTCGCAGATGCTCCAGCAGCCTCAACAAATGAACCAGTTGATGCTGAAGCAGCAGCAGAATCCTGGAACAATACAATGGTTCGTTGGCGCCGTGGCTCCTACGAACGTTCCAAGTACTGGCGCTCCAACTCCGAATGGGAACGTGGCTGGCGCACCGCTCGGACCTCTTCGCATCCGACTAGGGCCTGACACGCGTACCACGGAAGAAGAAGTGGTTTGCGGACGCTGTGGTCGTGTTGGATGTGGACGTGAGACGTGTCCCCGTGGACAAGGCCGTTGCAATCGGTGTAACGAACTTGGACACTACTCTATGGAGTGCAACTGGCCAAGACCCCAAGGGAATTACCGGAACGGAGAGCGACGCCAAGCGGAATGTCTGCTGTGTGGCAAGGCGGGTCACCTGGTGGCGAGATGCCCGAGCCTCGATACTTTGCGAGGAATGATGCAGAGCGTGGCCGCCGGGAACGTGACTGCACCCGCTGGTGCGTCCCAACAATGAAGGGGGCAGGAGGAAAGGGAAGGAAGTGTCGCTCCTTCCTCTTGCCTGGTTGGCGACACGAAGAGAGATGAGGGTTCACCGCGACAGAACTTGCCGGGTGGACATCAGAGGGCTCTCGGGAGAGGTGTGATAAACGAGGAAAGCGCACGTGGCGTTCCAGTTACGAGCGTAAAGACGGAAATTGTGGAAACTAAAAGTGGAACGAGTGGAAAGAGCAGTCCGACGGAACGGACTGGGCTAGAACGACACGAGAAGATTGAGGGCTCTACGGAGAGGCCCGCACGAGACGGAGTTGTCGCTGAGGTAACAGCGGAACGTTCCTCTGCGACGC